TTCGGTCTGCCATTTCTACCGATATGATTAAAAATATGTTATTTATCATACTTTTGCTTGGTACGAACTACTGTAGAATGGCAAATGCCAAACATTTTGGCCACCTCCCTTGTCGATTGATCATGGTTGAGAGTTTGAGTTACTTGAGCTCGAGTCACATTATCAAACTGCTTAACCATGGTTGTCTTGATAAGCTCTAATTTATATTTGAACAAGGCGGAAAACCAATTTTAGTAAAATGGCGCGTTTTTTTAACAAAAATGTTTAAAAAATCACTATTTTAAAAATTAAAAATAGAAATGGCCTAGAAGAGGCTATTTATGGGAATAGAGAGAATAAAGGCCATCATATTCAGTGATTAGTCGAAATTCAACTTGTTTCACTCCGATGGCAAGTCCTTTGTGTGGAGAGAGTCTGGAACAGGACGTATGTCCCAACATATTGACAAAACTGTCAAATATGGAGGTGGAAGTGTAATGGTGTGGGGCTGTTTTTCACATTACGGTGTTGGAAAGTTGGTGTTTATAGAGGATTAAATGGGTGTTATTCAATATGTGCGCATCCTTTACAATAACCTCTTTGAATCTGATGTAGCAATCGCTTTGAATCGGTACATTTTCCAGCAAGACAACGATCCCAAAAACACATCAAAGCTGGCATCAGAGTTTTTGAGACAAAGAAATGTGGAAGTATTGCCTTGGCCTGCTCAATCACCAGACATGAACCCGATTGAGAACCTATGCGGGATTATAAAGTCTAAAATGGGCATATTAAAGCCTAAAAATATCAACGAACTTAAAGATGCAATTAAGACGTCTTGTGCAGAAATAACCACGGATATGACAATAAGATTGGCTGAACGCTTTCATAAACGAGCTATTGCTCTTCATAAAGCCAAATGTGAATTAACAAAATAATGAATGACTATTGGTGCGTTTTTTTTACAATAAAGTTTACAACATGATAAAATAGTCCAAATTAAACTTATTAAAAAAGACAGAAATTTAAAATAATAAAAAAATACAGTTATCTTATATATAATATCGACTTGTTTAAATTTTTGTCATTTTAACCAAAAAAAGGGTAGTGAGTTTTTTTTAACAAAATGTATATATATCTAAGCACACGCACGCACACACACAATAGTTAGGGATAAGAGGCTGCGTTTTATTAATTAGTTGAGTTAAATGTGACTGAAAGAATAAATATTTGACACGAGTAATTTTGAGACTATCACTACTTTGTGAGCAAGCATTAGTCAGGCCACGTCGCTGAAAGCGATTTAAGTAGTGTCAGTTAATGCTTCTTCCACGATCAAGTGAATGGGCTTAATGAGGCCACTGAATTTCGTGTATCCTTGCGTCCCAAAAGGCAGGACTCGACTTCAGCCCCGACAGCGCCTCGGCTGGTCTCATCGGCACGCCAAACGGGATTCGAGCCCGGTTTGTCCAAGTCACACCTCAGCGTGGGATTATCGATCAAGCAAACACGCGTCTGTCACTGAAGGCGACGACGTTACTTTCCATATGAATAGCCTTTAATGATGGCTGTCACTACTTAAATCCATTTAAGCGACCCAGCCTGACAAAGTCATTATTCGTGGGCATAGTCGAATAAACGAGCCACAAAAGAGTCGTCCGTCTCGTCCCAGACTCGACAATATAGCAGGACAGTCGCATCTCTCCTCTTGCCTGGTACCGTGTGGCCTTGGAAACGGCCTGACTTCTTCGTGGACCGCAGATTTGGGTCGTTGCTTTGCATGTTGAAAGCCTTTCAGTGACAACAACGAGCTATTTCGCGTAAGGTGATGAAGGACTGCTAGTTGAATTCGCCCACAATCATGTGAGTAGAGCTGGGCTTTCTGCTGAATTTCACATGGCCCTGCCATCGCAAAAGATGTGTTCATCTACACCCCCAGCGGGAGTCGAACCGTGACAGTGCAGCAGGCGAGCTTGACACGTCAACCGTTCGGTCAGCCCTTCATAACCTTAAACGAGGTAAGGTGAATACATCGCATACTACTGAAACTCTACTCAAATACGAAAAAAAATAGCTGTCGAAGAAAATGATCAACGCGACGGACACCACCAGTGACGACATGTTTCAAGATCTGACGCCTGCATCTGGACCCAAAGACCTTTGCCAAGGCTAGGATTGGTGGATGTTGGGTTCCTCCAGATCCGTGGGTAACGCATATTCTCCATTCTCATCGAGCTCGTTTGGAACAGTCGGTTCAAAGGGTTGAGACGGCCGCTATTGGGAAGGTGAGAATGCAAAGTCCACGTTTCAAGAAGGCATATTTTCCTGAGCAACTTGCATTGGCCCCCTCTGACACGAGAACAAGCAGCCTTTTTCGGTCGCCAACCTTGACAAGTGAACACCGCTCATGGGCACGAAGTCAAGTCAAGTCACGTGAATTGCGCCTCGCTGCACTGTCACATAAAACGGCAACTTTGAAATAGTTTTCATTTCACTTGCAGCGACTGTTTATTCCAACCGTTTTAGGGATTGGCTTTTTTGGTAAATACACAAACATTCTGCAGCCAGTGCAAATAGAGGTTCTTCTACCCAATTTTGTCTGCAACCGTTGCCTCTGTGTGTGTGTGTGTGTATGACCAAAAGACCCTTTTTGTCAGCAGGTAAGAAGACCTTGCCTCGTTGTTAGGCAGTTGACGAGGCTGACTGTGGCTAAAGTCGACCTGACTCCCAGAACGCGGCTGTACTGTCCGACCGTTTGTACACTTTGTCCACTTCCCACTTGGTACTTTATCGAACGAGAAGCCACCCCCGATTCTGGCGCTGCGTGCTAACAACCGTTGCCCCCTTGCCCCTTTTACACTGGTTTGGCACAACTTCTTACCCTGTCTGTCTGTCTGTCTCGTGTGTGGCAGTTGCGTGGGCGACCGGATTGTCGTTTTCGTGTCTCTTTTCTGGCAGCTCGAAAGAGTCTCGAAATCACGCATCAAAGACAACTCGGTTTGTTCGGAAGAGATCAGTTTCCGCGTCCTCTCGTCGCCGTCCTCATCATCGTCATCTTCATCGTCGTGTTATTAACGCGTAGATCAAACGGAAGGATGATGATTTGCATTTTTTCACCAGTCTCTCGGCCCACACTTGACGGACACCGTCGGTATCATTTGGACGGAAAGAGTACGTCCGATGGAGGGATACGTGCCAGTTGGCCTCCTTCGGTTCCGGCGAAGATGCGCCAAGTCCTCGTGCGTCGGGTCACTTGACAGACAATTGCTTGCAACCACGCCCAGCAAACGAGTCAAGAAAGGCTGACCGGCCAGCCAATGGTCTGCTTGGTTGGTCGTTGTTATAGGCCAGGCTGGAAGTAAGTGCGTTTATGCGTTTGTCAGGGTTGAGCTGAAAAAATGAACCAAATCACTGCACACTACTTGCTTGACTCGTCAGTATGAAGCAAGTGTGAAAATGCTCAATTCCTCCGCGGTTATTGGAGAAGTGGCGCACTCGACAAGTACCGAACCTGCTCGCATCGGACCGAAACGAGATCGCCTCAAAGATGGCGTCGACTGGAAGGCTCCAGCAAAAGAACTTGGACAGGCCAAGTCGTTGAAAGTAGTGCAGAGGATGAGAGTTGAGTGGGCCTCAGGCAGTCGTGCCATTCCCCTCCTCAGTTGGCCACCAAACCGACCTTTTCAAAGTGAGGCTGTCGATTAAGCCAACATCTGTTTGTCAATGAGATAGACGACACTACTCAATTACGATGAAAGTAGTTGTGGGGACTGTGCATTTGGAATGTAGTCAGCCCAGGTCGCCAAGGCTGGTCTCGGGGTTGATAGTTGGGTTGTCTAATAATTCACTCTGTCACCAACTGCAACTGGTGGCTGTCTGAGGGAGAGGGGGCTCGAATCCTTGTGGGGTTTTGATGAGAGACCGTGAGGCGAGGCCAAAGCTGGCATCAAATGCAGCCGAAGAGAGCAAGCCGTCTTGGAGGCAAGACCAAGCGAAATTCCACTATCAGTCTTTTTTCACAAAACACCATCTGATGTCACTCAAGCTCGTATTAACATAATTCGCCGTCTCTCATAGCACAACTTGTGTGCTTGCGTATGTCTGTGTATGTTTGTGTGTATGCATGTGCTGGTGTGCGTCTGTGTACACGTGTATGTGTGTGGGAGCAAGAGTGAGAAAGAAGAAAGAAGCCTCCAGTTCACAGTTCACAGTTCGCATTGCTCTTTTGTCAACTTGGTTTGTCCAATTTGTACCTTCGTCTCCGAGTCGTCTGCAGTGACCGTGTCAAGCAACCGATAATTTGCGTTGCCTCATCCTCGGTCCGACCGGGCAGGGGACGGCCTTGCCAACGAACACGTCAGTTCTCAAGCAGGTCCATTAACCTCATGTACTTGGTCCCGAGTAAAGTGGCTCACTTGATTCCGCTGAACGAGTGCGTGCAATTGGAGCGCCCAATCGCGCTACGTCGTCGCCTCTCCCTCGAGAGCCAAGACGACGTTTGTGCACGTCCTGTTTTGGCCGGCCGGCTTGGCGCTACCGACTCTTGCACGAGGTGGCGGGCACTTGGAAGATGGCAAATCGGGG